CATGTTCGTTTAAAAATAAAACTGTATTTTCATACTCTATAATGAGGTTCATACTTTAAGAGGGAAACAAACATTTTTTAATTATATTTTTGACAAAACCATAAGAAAGGAGCACACTGATATCTACATTAGATATTCAGGATATGCATACAATAAGGTTTGTACATCGTTGACTGTAATATACTTTGACTTCAGACACCGTTTTTGTGCCATAGAATTTTACTTAAATTCTTTTAGTTTAATATAAAAAACACGTTTTGTTGTATTGGATAGAGCCATTGAGAGAGACTAACGACTAACGAGGGTGATATTTTATTATAATACTTAAAAATTGAAGCCATGCATAGTGTTATGCATACAAAAAAAAAGTCAATTAAAAATACACAGATCGCAAGTATAGCTGTGCCAGGGGCTACTCGTAACAAAAACTAGGCCTCGTTAAATCATATTCTTATTCTTTAAGTATGTCCTAAAAAAAATCGATCTTGATTTATGTGAAAAGAAAAATATTTATGTCTAGATCTCATTATATAATTTGCATATCAACTAAATTAGTTTTTTTTCTTTTAATTTAGGGATAAAAATTACTTTTAATTTCTCTAAAAATTTTGAAATTTAGGGTTTTTAATTTTTTTTTATTAAATTAGTCTGTATAAAATTACAACATGTTAATAAGGACAGTTTTTTTTATTAAAATTCCGTTAGCTCCTGCATGACAAATGAACATACACGTGATAAACGAAAAGTTTTTTTTTTTTTTTTTAATGTAAATTCACTTTTAATCTTTCAAAAAAATTTGTATTAAATTAGCTATTGTAAAAGTAAAATAATTACGCTAAATCTAGCCTTTAAGAGATGCTAATTTCTTTTGTTCAAATTTTTTCTTAAAAGATTGGACAGTAGATTAATATACCTTCAAAAGTAATATTTCCACTAATAGTAGGCATTACCAAATATATACTCCATTAGTAAACATAATCAAACATATATTTCGTTAGTTAATAGATGATTTCTACCATAATATAATGACTCATGAATATACAATCATTATAACAGTCAATAAAACAAAAAATAATAATTTAATTATAAACTGTCAACCTAAATAAAATGAAATTAACACCTCTCAAAAGACTAATAAACTCAACTTGTTTTATTTTTACAAGAACTAATTTAATACTAAAAGAAAAAATTGGAAGACCAGAAGTGAATTTAAATTTTTTTATAGGGACAACTAAACTTTTTGTTTACCATGTGTATTTTCGTTTGCCACATAAGATAATGTCATTAATGAAGTTATAAGAAAGGATCAATCTTTATGTTATAATTTTAGAGAGACTAATTTAATACAAAAAAAAAAAATTTGAGGACCAAAAAAAAATTTAAATTTTTTTAGAGGAACTAAAAATAACTTTAATTTTTTAATTTATTTAATTTAATCTCTGTAATTAAAGGTCTAATTTAATTCCTTAATTTTTTTTTTAAATAATGCCATGTGATTCTTTTTGTTCAAATCGAAACTAACAACATTTAAGTTTTGTATAGATAATAATAATAATAATGTATTTTTTATGTGTCAGGTATATAAATAGTTAACGTTATTAATTTCAATTTGACAAAAAATTATATTCTATCATTTTTGAATTAAGAAATCAAATTAAAATTTTCAATAATAGAGAGAGTAAATTAAATTCAATGAAGTATGAAGTATGAAAAGAGTAATTTAACCTTACTTGTATTAAAAGCTGAAGCATTTACCTTACCTTATGAGAAAAATTGAGGTATTGGTCAAAGATACGTAAAGAATTGAGTATGGTTCTCAACATGAACGACTGACTTTGAGGAACAAAAGTCACTTTTATTTTATTTTATTTATAGATATCTAGAAATCTCATTACTTTCTTATGATTGAATTTTGCAAGAGATCAACTTTTGCAAGTATTATTACGATGTTTGAAAGGATTTAATTATTTTATTTACTTTCAATAAAAAAATATTTTTTTTATTTCTCCAAATAGAACATATTTGACATATTTCACTAATTTTATTTTGGAAATATGTTTGATGAAAGAATGTAATTTTTATATCATGTATTTGTTTATGAAAAAAAATTATAATAATGATAATAATGTTTGACATACTATTTTTAACTTTTATTACTAACACTACATTAATCATAAACAAAATAATGTGAAAATAATGTTCATTCAAACTTCTTAATCAAATTTATTATAGTGAAAATGATGTTGATTCAAACTTCTTAATCAAATTTAATATAGTGCATAAATGCACTTAAAGTGAAATTAATAAGTTCTAATTCACATTTATGTCGATTACTCAAAAGACATGAAAAAGATAGATTAAATAAAATAGTTTTTATGAAGACAGTTCATAACCCTTCGAAAAAAAATGAAGACAGTTCATTAAAATAATAATAATAATAATAAATTGGCTACATGAAAATAATTAAAGTTTACACCGATAACTGCTGAACAACTAAAATATAGGTCAACACTACACCACAAGGTTCAAACAATCCATACTTTAAATTTTATATTATTATTATTATTATTTATGTATTAAATATGAACTTTTATTTTACATGAAGTTTTTTTGAGTTTTTTGAAATTTTTTAATTTCTTATCTAATTAATTTTTTTTTACTTATCATGATTATTTATTAATTAAATTTTAATATTTTAAAATAAATATCAATAAATAAAAATAATATTATTTTGTAATATAAATTATTTATCAAAATTTTAAATATAATTTATATGTTTAAAAATATTTATTTATAAATTCTTTAAATATAATTTATATATTTAAATAATATTTATATATATATATATATATATATATAATTTATTATAAATTTTAGTTACTAAAATACTATATATAAATAAATCTTATTTGTACTGACTCTCTTAACACTTTTCCCGATCTAAAAAATATTATACGTATTTTGCGTCCAAGAGACGTAATTATAGTGATATCAAATATTTTATAAGAATAACATCATTTAGGTTGAACACAAATTAGTCTATTCTTACATCAATATATTAAATCGCATATTTCATATATCAAAAATTAAAACATGTAACGCATGCATGAATTATAATTTACAAATTATGCTTTTTATTTTCCTATCTCTTTTTTTTTTTTTTTTAAAGGAAGTTTTCCTATCTTCTAGTACCATAATTTGAGACGGAAATTCTCATGCTTCTACCCCAATTGTCAAACATATTAGTTTAAGAATAAAACAGTATTTTTCATCCTCTATGCATAAGACCAATGAGGCAGTTTCCCTGCCAACCCCATTTAAGCTCTTAATTTTTTTTAATATTTTTAAAATTATTAGATGATAAATTTAATTTATTATATTGTGTAGAGTTAGTTTATTAGTAAAATTATGTAATTCAAAAATATGTATATATATATTGTTGTAGGTTATTTAATAATTTTTATTACTCATTTTATAAATTATAAGAAAAATAATTTTACATTTGCTTTGAAATCAAATAAAAAAATGACATTGAAATTTATATCGAGATTAAATTTTATAAATATAGTATGATCCATAAAAAAAATATTCTGATAAAAATATTAGTGATGACCTCACACATTCATATGAATATTAATTCTTTTGGTTATTGTAAAAATGGTTTTGAATATTGCGCATGCATATTAAATCAATTTTTGCCTTTTATTCATATCTTCTTTGGGGAAAAAAAGTTAAATAAGAAAACACTTTTCAATTTTATTTTAATTTTTTAATACTTTGACTTTTGGCTTTTTTATTTAAAAATCAATGCTTGAAATTTTTAAAAGAGCATGAAAGGGAAAAAATATTATATTATTTTATATTACTCATGAAACAAATTTAAGTTTTAATGAACTTTAATTCGATATTAGTGGTGCTGATTTATTTTTCCTAGATTGAAGGTATCAAAATAAACACTAAAAAAGTTAATGCCATATTAAAAGTATTGAACTATATTAATATTTCAAACTGTATAAAGATAGAATATTATTAATAATATTTGTAATTATTGTCATTAGTAAAAGATTTTAAAAAAAAATTCAAATTGATATCAATTACCTTGTAAGTGATTGGATGAATTAATATATAGTGAAATATTTTTTAATATTTAACAGAATACATGCAAACAGCACACCAAAATCTGCATAAGACAGTCACGACATGCATACAATAAGGTTTGTACATCGTTGTTGACTGTAAATACTTTGACTTTAGACGCTTTTTTCTGCCACAGAATTTTACTTAAATTCTAGAAGTATAATATAAAACAGGTTTCTTTCCATTATAATACTTCAATTTTGAAGGCATGCACAATGCTACGCATTAAAAGAAAAATAAAAGTCAATTCAAAAACACAAATATTCGTGTAAGGCAAGATTTTGGCTTCTTTAGATTTTTCAAAATTTGAAGACTTAAAAATTTAAATATAACTTTATTTTAAAGAATTGCTTATATTTTTCTTTTCTTTTTACTATACATTTTTAGTTGTTAAAACTTGATCTGAATTTTCTTAATAATTATAGTATTGATACTAAGTAGTCTATTCATTAGCAAAAATAGTAATTAATATGATATGAAATTGATGTATTCATCACAGAAGAAAATAAGAAAGCAATGGAGATGAGGAATCAAATTATTATCAATACTCATATAAAAGTGATTCTTTATTTTTGTATATATAACTTTTTTTTTTTGAAGTATTAGTAAGTTTTAAACACTTTTAATCACACAGTAATAGGGAATATTTCGATCTCACCGATTATAATAAAAATAATAATAATGTTAAACTAAGACGCGTTGGTTTGTTGCAGTTGTAGCCAGCCATGACTATTTATTATTTAATGAGATGAGATACGTATTGAATAAATAAAAAAGCGTGTGGATTCAAAGCACGTGGTCTTCAATGTACTATTGAGTTAACAGAACCGAAAGTGGAATCGTTTTTATTTAGCATCCGAGGTTAAACGAATATGTTTCTTCACCTTTTCAACCAAAGAACAATTCAAAACACACACAAGTAACACATAACATAAGAAGGTTCCTAGAAGTAACCCCCTATTCATTTGGTCACATGACATCATAACAAACGCGTTTTAACTCATGTCTTCCTTTTTTATTCCCACTTTTCTCGTACCATGTCCAATCCAATTCTCTTTTCTTCATTCACTTTGTTCTCTCAATTCACCTTCTTGTGGTCTAAAGAAAAAAGGGTAGTCATGTTTCTTTGTAGATCAATATCAAAATCAATTCTCTTTGTGTTTGGGTTTGTGTTGCTTCTCTCTGGAGCCAATGGTATTCGATCTATTGCCACAGAGAAAGGTTATGATGAAAGTGAGGTTCAAGTTGATCCCTTTGTGCAATTCAGAGAGGCCCCAGAATACAGAAACCAACGAAAGTGCAGTCTAGTTGACACAAACAATGTGAAAATGGTCTGTGACCCTTCACTTGTGCATATTGCCTTGACCATTGATTGGCAGTACCTAAGAGGGTCCATTGCTGCAGTGCACTCTGTGGTGAAACACACTTCATGCCCTCAGAATCTCTTCTTTCACTTCATTGCATCAGATGCAAGATTGGAGAGCAGGGATGAGTTTGTCAGGATTCTTCATTCCTCATTTCCTTCCATGAGATTCAAAGTTCATGAGTTCAAAGAGAGTCTAGTTGAAAACCTCATATCTCCTTCAATTAGGGAAGCACTTGACAACCCCCTCAACTATGCAAGAACTTATCTGGCTGATTTGCTTGATCACTGCATTGAGAGGGTTATATACTTGGACTCTGATGTCATAGTTGTTGATGATGTTCAAGAGCTGTGGAAGGTTTCTTTGACAGGGTCAAGAGTCATTGGTGCTCCCGAGTATTGTCATGCAAACTTCACCAGATATTTCTCCTATGAGTTTTGGTCAAGTGAAGAATTTTCTGAGGTCTTTGCAGGGAAAAGGCCTTGTTACTTCAACACTGGGGTGATGGTAATGGACTTGGTGAGGTGGAGGGAGGGTGACTACACAAGGAGGATTGAGAAGTGGATGGAGATTCAGAAGGAGAGAAGGATCTATACATTAGGATCACTCCCTCCTTTTTTGTTGGTTTTTGGTGGTGATGTTGAGGCCATTGAACATAGATGGAACCAACATGGATTAGGTGGGGATAATGTTAGAAATAGTTGCAGGACTTTGCATCCTGGTCCTGTTAGTTTGTTGCATTGGAGTGGCAAAGGGAAACCATGGGATAGGCTTGATGCCAAGAGGCCTTGTTCAGTGGACTTTCTTTGGGCACCTTATGATCTCTACATACCCCATCACCACAAGAGAATTGCTATTGGCACTACACATTCATCATTTTAGGATAAAATTTTATATATTGGTTCATTCCGATTCTTTTGTTCTGAATATTTTTTGTGTATAGACAGAACACTCAAAAGATTTTGTAATGTTTGTTGATACATATTCAATAGTTTAGTAAGAGAGAACATCATGAGGAACACGATGATACGCAATTGGATAAGATATGAGTTATGTTTTCATGTGTTATCCCTGTAAAGATATTTATTGAATGAAAAGGAATAGCAGAGCAAACAAAACATGTCAAAAATTAAATCAACCCCAAAAGTAAACCAACTCTTTGGACTCCTAGAAAATACGATCTGATTTCAACGATCTGATTCAAATTTTCACTCAATTATGCACATCTAGCATACTTTTTCACAGAATCATGTTTGAACTGGATATGACTACTATAAACAATAAATTTCTTCATACAAGTGCCATGTATGATTTCTATGGACAATAAAGTTCTTCATCCAAATGCCAAATATGACTACTATGAGTAGCAAAACTTTCCTCTCCACTTTGGTTATATTAGAACAATCTTGTATCAGTTAATCAATGTTCATGATTATTTTTTTGATATTACCCTTGAAAAGGAACATTGGTTCCAACAATTTCATCCCATTTGCCCAAACAATTACAGATATTTTAAATAAAGTACGTAGGCATACAAAAGTACAAAAAGTTCACACCCCTTTTATCTCTAAAGATGAAATGTCCCAACCAGACAGTTGTTCTATCTTTATTGTCCATTCAATCTGCTCTAAATGACCCCCTTTATGCTGGATTGTTGCCAGGTAATCATAAAAAAATTAATTTTTCGGGAATTTTAAACCAAGTTAATGATCAACTTTTGGACTAGTTATTATCACTGTGGTTCTCTGTTAAACTTTAATTTTGCGAATAAAGATATTTACAGTGTTTCTCTTGTAAACTTTGATTTTTGAGAATAAAGATATGTATGACAATCAGACCATCAGACATGTGTTTACCATTTACTATTAAAGAAAAAATATTATTGCATTAAGAATGTGAATTTTTATCCAATTCAATCTTATAAAACTCATTTTTTAAGTAAAGATTGTTTTCTCTTATATATTATATTTTAGTCATTTTATTAGTCATTGTGAAGTCTCATAACACAGCCACTGAAATTGTATTACTTAGCTGTAAGTCATAGAGAAAAGAGAAGAGGGAGGGGAAGCCAACATGAAGATAAAAATGTTGCAAGAACAATTATGATTAAACAACATTATGTTCCTACAATCAAGTATAGCATGTGAAAAATTAGAATATTGGACCAATGTCTAGCTGGCTAAGCAAAACAAAAGCTAAAGAAAATACACATCACGTGCTAAATTTGGAAAATATCAATTTTGTGTGCATCTGTGAAGTTAGCATACCGAAGTATAACTAAGATGAATTTCGATCAGGACAAATAAGTTCCAAAGTTCAATCAGTTTAGAACTAAAAATATACACAAAAAAAATATGAAAATAAAATGGTCTATAATCTAAAATGTTTATCCAAATTCTAGTGTCGATAAAATTCGAGATTTCTCAATATGCATTGGTTTGGAAACATTAGTACATTACTACAAGAAAACAAAAGATGACAAAACTAAAAAAAAATTCAGCTAAGTGGAAAGGGTGATGTCAAGCTATAACAACCTTCTCAGAATGGCGAGTTTCCACTTCAAAGACGACTAGTTATTCTTATTCTTTCTAGGTAAGCTTATTTGTTAAGAAATTAAGATGGAAAATATTATTTAAACACATTGTTAATACATTTTACCGTGATTAAATATGTTTTTAATACAAAATTATTATTAATTCATTTTCAAAGGACAAGATACTTTATAAAATTAACCCAATGGGGTTAAATGATATATAAAGTATTAAATTATGCTTCATTAAATAATTAATAGGTGATAAAATATTTGATCTTATACATATAAATAGAAGGTTCACCTTGATCTTGCACCACTTATTATTCTTGTAAGACAACATCCATTACTTGAAAGTCATGTCATAATTCATGACTCAAAAACAAAATGAATGAAAAGCATACAAAGAAAATAAAATAATAATAATAATAATAATAATAATAATAATAAAGAGAAACAAATAAATCGTGTATCTTCAAATGTCCAAAGATTCCAATACCTGCATTTCAAGAAATGTCAATATTAAATTAAAATTTATTGTATAATAAATCAACAAAAAATATATTAAAAAAAGTAACTGATATTAAAACTCTACATAGAGAAATAATGAATTGGTATATATAATACCATTTTAAAAAATAGTAAATAAATGATTTAGCCATAATAATTATCTATTTTTTCTTGCTAAAGTTTTATCTTTGTTCATTATATAAAAATGCTTCTTTTTTGTCATGAAAATATGGTTGGACAAAAGTAAGACAATGGTATGTAAAGTGTGGCTGCAGAAAAATAAAAAGAGAAATAAAATATTTAATAAGAGAATAAGTATAAAAAGAAAGAAATAATAAGCAAGAAAATATTGACTTACCTATAATTTAATTTTGATTTTCATCATTAATGGTAAATATTTCAAAAAAAAAAAAAAACTAACAATACGGTCAAAGCTCAAAACCACCAAAAACGGAGCATGCAAGGCGTGGTTAAAAGAAAAAATAAATAAATATAAATATATATATATATATATATATGATTTTAATTATTCTAATTAATTCAAAATAACTTAAAATATATTATTATAAAATAGGCTTAATTATGTTAATTTAATTATTTTAATAAAAATATTTTTTTTTCAAATTATTTTATTATATTTATATATTTTATGAAATAAAATAAAATTTTCAGTGATTAATGCAGTGTTTGTTGTCATATATTTATTATAAAAGATTATATAATAATAATAATAATAATAAACATAAAACATGACCCTAAGTTCAATTGTCATCATTAGTACTCAAATATAACGATTCAACTATTAAAATCAATCTAGTAATAGAAATTTAGAGAAGCATGTCCAGAATCTTAAGTTCAGTTAGATTAAAAAAAGTGTAATATAGCAATTCATTATTATTATTATTATTATTATTATATATTTAGGATTAATTATTATAAAATCATGATAAAGAAAAACAAAATATCACAACTACTAAAAAAATTCATAATGTTAATAAATTGATTATCATATCATATTATATAAAATCAAAATTCTTTTAACATTTAATGATTTAACCAAATAATTTAATCATAATGAATCTATGTTATAATCATTTTAATCTTTACAATGCTCATACTTATATAATTCAAATCTATAATAGATAATAAATTTTAAATATATAAATCATATTGTAACTATAAAAATTAATAAATAAATATTTTTATCATATAAATTATATTCTATATTTTTAATAAAAAATTATTTTTAACTATTAATAATTTTTAAAAACATTGAAAACTAATTAAAATTAAAAATGAAAAATCTGGTTAAAAAAGTAAAATATTACCAACAAATCATTATTTTGAGTGGTATTGAACTCGATCTTAAAGTTTTATATTCAAATTTTTTTATATAGAAAAACATGATTGAATGAAAAGATCCCACTAAAAGTGTCCCATCAGGTTTTCAATAAAGATTTAAAAAAAAAAAAAAAAAAAA